GGATTGTGCAGTATGTAGTAGCCTAAGTATTGAATGTTTTGTATTTTTTCTTGCGAATATATCAAATTATTATTTTTATCAAGATTTCATGTTACATTTTGACAAATATTAAATGTATAGTTGATTCAGCTGTAAGAAATTGATTCCCCATTACCAAGTTTTTTAATCAAGTCTTTGGTATACATTAAACATAAAGATTAACATTTTCATGCTTGAAATTGTTAAATTTTGTACAATTTTGCATCATCAGAGGTCTTATAAAGATTTTCAACATTAAAAAACTGACAAAAGAGGTATAGTTTTTAAGATTTTGCCAAAAATTGAGGTAGAAAAAAGATTTTACACTTTGACTTGGCACCTTTCTTTAAATCAGTTTTTGTCGCGTTTCAGTGTCAACTGCTAACCTTCATAAAATATTCATTACTCAACCAATTTTCAAAAATAAAAGGCCATTTTACTCGTTTTAGCTAGCAGAACACAGAAAATTAGTTAAAAGGGAGAATTTGAAGAAAATATTTACTATTAAGGTAGCAATACACAGTTAAGAGTTTGGTTTCGCATTTTGGCCCCGGTGGATTTTTCAAATATGAAAGTTATTGTGTAATAAAATTCATTTTTAGACAGCTGAGTACTAATTTAGCCTTCAAAGGTGGTTTATAAGAACATCAAGATTATTTTTTACATGTTTTATTGGCTATTTTCTGTTTGACTCTCCGTATTTTCATAGCTAGACCGGTCATCGGTCCAGAAATTAATGTAATGTTTACAAACACTTTTTTTCTACACGAAGTTTTTGACGCAATTTTACAAAAAAATGAGACGAAAGACATATGATTTTCATTGGATTTATTGAAAGATATATGTAAACACTTTCAGAAAAGGTATTACTTGAAGTGATTGAAATTCTACTTTTGGTCAAATTTTGGGAAAATATGTGACATCTTTTCCCCCCTTTTTGCTATATTTTATAACAAAAGAATGCAGATTGTTGCCATGGATACACCAAAAAGAAATTATATTTAACCATTTTATAGACTGGATATGAAATCTATGGAAGATTCTGATTACATACATATGCACATATATGACACAAACAGTAAGCTTAATATTGCAAGAAGGCAATGAAAAGGGGATGGTAAAATTTATGAGGGAAAATTTTAACATTTTTTCCTAACTGTTTATTGCTACCTTATGGCATACTTACCAAGCTCAGAATTGTATAATTTAAGACTTTTCATACCACAAATCTATATATATTTAGATTCTAAATCAACTTCTGAGAGGATTAAGTGTTTAAGAATGACAATATATGTCAATTTTATTGTTTACAGTCCTTAGCAACCAAACTTAGACATTTTGACACAAGGCTTATAAGTGTACTCTATTTGCTTAACCCTTGCTTCTGAAGGATTGTGCAGTATGTAGTAGCCTAAGTATTGAATGTTTTGTATTTTTTCTTGCGAATATATCAAATTATTATTTTTATCAAGATTTCATGTTACATTTTGACAAATATTAAATGTATAGTTGATTCAGCTGTAAGAAATTGATTCCCCATTACCAAGTTTTTTAATCAAGTCTTTGGTATACATTAAACATAAAGATTAACATTTTCATGCTTGAAATTGTTAAATTTTGTACAATTTTGCATCATCAGAGGTCTTATAAAGATTTTCAACATTAAAAAACTGACAAAAGAGGTATAGTTTTTAAGATTTTGCCAAAAATTGAGGTAGAAAAAAGATTTTACACTTTGACTTGGCACCTTTCTTTAAATCAGTTTTTGTCGCGTTTCAGTGTCAACTGCTAACCTTCATAAAATATTCATTACTCAACCAATTTTCAAAAATAAAAGGCCATTTTACTCGTTTTAGCTAGCAGAACACAGAAAATTAGTTAAAAGGGAGAATTTGAAGAAAATATTTACTATTAAGGTAGCAATACACAGTTAAGAGTTTGGTTTCGCATTTTGGCCCCGGTGGATTTTTCAAATATGAAAGTTATTGTGTAATAAAATTCATTTTTAGACAGCTGAGTACTAATTTAGCCTTCAAAGGTGGTTTATAAGAACATCAAGATTATTTTTTACATGTTTTATTGGCTATTTTCTGTTTGACTCTCCGTATTTTCATAGCTAGACCGGTCATCGGTCCAGAAATTAATGTAATGTTTACAAACACTTTTTTTCTACACGAAGTTTTTGACGCAATTTTACAAAAAAATGAGACGAAAGACATATGATTTTCATTGGATTTATTGAAAGATATATGTAAACACTTTCAGAAAAGGTATTACTTGAAGTGATTGAAATTCTACTTTTGGTCAAATTTTGGGAAAATATGTGACATCTTTTCCCCCCTTTTTGCTATATTTTATAACAAAAGAATGCAGATTGTTGCCATGGATACACCAAAAAGAAATTATATTTAACCATTTTATAGACTGGATATGAAATCTATGGAAGATTCTGATTACATACATATGCACATATATGACACAAACAGTAAGCTTAATATTGCAAGAAGGCAATGAAAAGGGGATGGTAAAATTTATGAGGGAAAATTTTAACATTTTTTCCTAACTGTTTATTGCTACCTAAATTGAGGTAAATTATATGGCCTTCCAAATACCGTTTCGATTCCTAACATCACTGAAGAGACATTAATTGTCGAAATCCGGATATGGTGTACAAATGTTTGCACCTCATGTTTGCGGTATACAATCTTTTCCGCTAGTTTATTTTTTTCTGTTTTGTATTAAATTAATAATTAAGATCCATTTTGTTACATCTGGTGATCCGTTTATTTGGCAATCGCCATGGCACTAAGCAAGGTTTAAGAACATCCGTTGTTCTACCTGCTAGTCAAATGCGTTTTGTTAAAATATACTTTTTCACTTTTTTGGTCTTTTGAAAAATGTTGTTTGTGCTGTATTTAGACCCCTCTACCAAGAAATTTGTTTTGCATGCACACGTATAAAAATTGCGGTTTTTATCCAACGGAATCATAGGTTTGAACGTTGTTTTCAATTTAGACTTGTTTATATGTTTTCGTTTGGGCTTGTATTATATTTGCCTTCGGGTTTATATAATCCGTTCATCCTATTCGACTCTTTAAAATTCAAAGTCTATCCTTAATTGAGGTAAATTATATGGCCTTCCAAATACCGTTTCGATTCCTAACATCACTAAAGAGACATTAATTGTCGAAATCCGGATATGGTGTACAAATTTTTGCGCCTCATTTTTGCGGTATACCATCTTTTCCGCAAGTTTATTGTTTTCTGTTTTGTATTAAATTAATAATTAAGATCCATTTTGTTACATTTGATGATCCGTTTATTTGGCAATCGCCATGGCAGTCAGCTGCGTTTAAGAACATCCGTTGTTCGACCTGCTTGTCCAATGCGTTTTGTTAAAATATACTTTTTCACTTTTTTGGTCTTTTGGAAAATGTTGTTTGTGCTGTATTTAGACCCCTCTACCAAGAAATTTGTTTTGCATGCACACGTATAAAAATTGTGGTTTTTGTCCAACGCAATCATAGGTTTGAACGTTGTTTTCAATTTAGACTTGTTTATATATGAGCTGCGTCGGATAGAAATCGACCTTATGCAAGTGCACGTATACATGTACATGTATAAGATTTTTGTTGATTTTGGAACATTCAAATACGAAATTAAAGATAAATTTTGGTCTGTTTTGTAGGGTTCTTATAACAACTCAATTTTTTAAACAGTTACAGACTTTCCGTAGAGATTTTTTCAACCAGATGTATTGATATTAATTTGCATAAGGTCGATTTCTATCCGAAGCAGCTCATATATATATATAGTTTTAACACATTTGAAAATAATGTTTTTATTGCTAAAAATAGGTTGTATATGAAAAATGTTTACCACATATAGAGATCACTATTCATCATACCACACTTTTGGTTTGAAGAAAAGTAGTTGCTTACTTTCGAAGAATTTCTAGAACAATCTTCAGAAAGTACCTGCTAGAGGTTTAAAGTTTGAGAAGGCAAACACATTAAACACTACTTGTGAAGTAATTAAACGATGGAAAGGATTTCTGAATTACATGTATTGCTTTGATCTCAATAGCATACGAAAAACTCTTTAAAATTTGTTTGTAAGTAATCCCAAATCGACCATTTCGACGAGACATGAGAGGTTGAAGACACTTCACGAAAATGGTAAAAACTTTATGTGCAATAATTCAGACATGATTACAATAAAGAATGTCGAGATTTCATTACAACTACAAGGCTCAACACATCATGCTTAAGCAAATATAAAAAAAAGTATGAAGAGTGAAATCTTCAATTAAAAAGATCCGTTTCATATACGATACGAATGAAAATGTAAATATGAGAATTTTCAACTTCAAAGAAAAAACAAAAAAGGTTTTGGCACATATTAGGTTATCGGTATCGACAGTGAAGAACAACCTATCGTGCTTTAGGTATTATGTCTATTTCAAAACAATGTTTCGTTTTAATATATGAAGATAACAAGGCCATATGCTCAATATTGTCAATAATTTTCTAAATGAGTTTTGTTTTTATTATATATAACGTAATCTTTTGTGTATGTGTACAGAATTCAAAGAGATAACAACTTTAAGTTGGAATAATTTTTCAAGTCATTTTGTTTTTTTACGATGGAATAATAATAAACTAAACTAAACTCATCAGAAATCATAATCCAAAAAAAAAAAAAAAAAAAATTGACCACACCATGAAAAATAAGGCAAAACAAAAAACAGAGAAAAGTACCAATTAGGGGGGTTTTCTTCACTTTTTTTAAAAGTCTTAAACATTATAATTTCACGATATAATAATTTAATGACAGTTTTTGTCATTACACGGATTTTCTGATTAAAATGAGACACAGACTTGTAGTAAGGAAACTGTCTACGGGATCAGAAATCTACTCAAAACTTGTATTTATCTATACAGACGACGTCTTATATGTAATTTTTTACAATGTGATTTCAGTTACTCAGCCGATGATGGATACACGAAGGATGAATGTTGCCAATGAACAACTTGCTTCAAGACGTAAAGCTGCTAAGATGTTAATCACAGTTGTTTTAGCGTTTGCTGTCTGCTATTTCCCAGTTCATCTGCTTAATATTTTAAGGTATTTTTTTAAATGTACGAAGATTGCTCTTAACAGTATTTCTATCTACAAAGAAACTTGTATTCACATCAAAAATTGCAAGAAATAGTTTTTGTAACTTCTGTACAAAAGAAGATTTCTATCACTTCTTTATATTGTGTCAATTTTTAGAAATCTATTGGAATAAACTACAACTAGGCTTTCTATACCTGATCCCCCCAAAAAATGTTTTTCCTAAGATCATTCTCGCGATGGTTTTTCTCTGAATTTCTTATGAATAAAAATCATGTTATGATATGTCAAACAAGTTTGCTGTAGGCCTTACTCTTCATAAGGGCGAATGGCTGAAAAGTATTCTTTAACATGGTACAAAGGAGTTTCATTTTAGTGGTTTGTTTTCGTTAGGTCACTCTTGGTTTTTTTCAAAGATTTGGTAACAAATTTTGGGACACATGCAAGCTTAAAAAATGCTATAGGGCCTTTAAACCAAACTTCTAAGTTAAACATATAATTGAATCACTGTGTTTAACATATTACTGTATAAGTAAAATACTGTATCCATTATCGCTCTTGATATACAATATTAAAATGTTTCTGAGTCGAATTATCTTGCTGCAAAAATGGTTGACTTTTATTATAAAATCATGGCGTTATACACCAAAAATAAATCAATCAAATATTATCAAATCTCGCAATTATATTTATTTTAGAAACTCACTAAAGAATATATAAAAAAATCACCCACTCAATTTGATAAAAAGCAATAAACATTCATGTCTTTGTGTGAAAACTACATATATCCATCGAGATTCTCTCTTTGTCATCCTATTTTTGAACATTTAGCAAGGCGGTCGTTAATTTCAACCTATATACTTGTAATGAAAAAACTAACTGATAAATCCTTGTTCATGTATCAAGTTAATGTTGATCTCTTATATTTGTTTATTGTCATCTGATGTAGCCATGAGACTAATTATTTTTAAATGCATAAAAAATACAAAGCATCAGTAATAAATCCAAAGATACAATTATCACTGATGTTTTGTTCATATCTATCAGCTAACTATAGTATATTTCAGGATGATAACAGTTTCTTCCTAAGCTACTTTAAAATTGAACAAAAACATGTCGAACATGCACAAGGTCATAAGGTCATGTTTATTTCTGACTGCATGTTAATGACGTCTTTATACTAAATTCATTGGGAGTTGGATGTGTACTGATTGATATTTTAGTCTTAGATAAATAATTTTTTTATTCGTTGAAGTAGCTTTCATAAACTGCGAGTACTCTAAGACCTGTACTGTGTGTCTTTTTATTTTAGCTCTTTTTGTGCTTTGTATCGATGTGATGAGTTAAGTCCTTTTCATCTGATTTTTATAGTTTGTTCTTATGTTGTGCTGTAACACAACTGTCCCATGTAAAGGGGAAGGTTAGTGCGCCCGCAAACATGTTTAACCCCGCCACATTAGGTATGTGCCTGTCCCAAATCAAGAGCTTGTAATTTAGTGGTTGTCATTTGTTGTGGTATATCACATATTGTCTTGTACATAATCAGGTCGTTGGTTTTATCGTTTGAATTGTTTTACATTTGTCATTTCGAGGCCTTTCATAATAGCTTGCAATGCTGTATGGATTTTGCACATTGTTGAAGGTCGTACTGTGACCTATAGTTGCTAACCTTGTTCCTCGTTTGGTCTTTGGAGGGATTTGTCTTATTGGCAATCATACTATATCTTCTTATTTTTATATCATTAATCACGTAATCGTGTCTAAAAATTTTCTTATCTTTAAACAGTTTATAAATTCCGGATTATCCACAATGTTGGATCCTGGTATATCACACATATCGCGTAGTCAAGTGTTATGACAAATGGGTCTGCAGAAAAGTAAATATATTCTCCAGATCCCGTATACCTACACAAGAGTCTCTTATCTTGTGGGTCTGTAGATTTTCACTTGAGTATCTCATCTTGTGGGTCTACCCGAAACACCAACTACGACAACAACAAAATGGCTAATAATGCACAACTTGCACATATTATACCAACTGCGGTTATGCTCCTAGTAGCTATCGGCTACATCCTCTGTCTGACTGTTACACCAAGAATTCTTCTTAGTATCAGCCTCCTTTAATTAGGAGCACCTCCAAATATATATGGAGTTTTTCCTTAACTTTAAAATTTAAAAGGATAAAACAAAAATGTTCTTTTTCCAACATATGTACAGCACATATAAATAAACAATAAAAGTGTCATCCATGTCATATTTACATGGACCTTTTTATTATAAATTAGTCTACCATACATGTAGATTCACTTATGTATGTAACTCAGTTTAATTTATAATTAGAAATATGTTTCATTTGAATTTGCTTTTTAATATGCATAAAAGATACATTAAAAGGAGGTTTTATTTAATAAGATCTCTGTATTAAAATAATAAGTTAAGATGTAAGAATTTAGTAAAATCTAAAAAGGCAGATTTTCTCAGTGGAATGTTATATGTACTTCATGATCAATGTATATAAAAATCATAATAAAGTTATAAAAGCTTGTTTTGTCACCATCAATAAATTTAAAAGGGTTATATACATGATATGGACCCTATCATAAATGTATTAGCGAGTTAAAAGATAGGAATGCTTATTAATTATTTAAATTTCTTACAATTATTAAATGACGGACTCTGTGTTGGTATATATATGTCACTTATGATAATCATTCTCATTTGATTGTCATTTCCTCCACTTAAAGATATATGTATATTTATATACGTATATGCAATATGTATCTTGCTATTTGTTGTCCATAATTTTCAATCTTTCTATATGCAGTTGGAATAACATATTTCTGGTTTTGTTTTCAATATTTTCCATGAATTTTTCACAGTTATCAAACAGCTCCTTATATTTTAAACAGTCTATTAGTAATTGTACTATCGCAGTTTTGTTCATGAAGGTGCAGTTCCATTATTCTGGTGTGATTTTATCAGTGATCTCTTTTCTTATATCAAGGAAATATTTTTCTCTCGTAGTACTAAGTATGGGACAGGTTGTCAGGAAATGAGTTATGTCTTCATTGTCAGTTTTACATAATTGGCATATTGGTTCTACTTTATAGGGAGTGAATTTATGTTTGTCTGCCTGAAGTATGTATGTTCCAGTTATCATTCAAGTCTTGATTATCTTTTCTAAGTTCAAAACGAGGCAAATGCTTTACTTTCCAGACTTTATGATGTTTATTGATCTCGAAGTTTTCCGTATTCATAAATTTTAAGCTAGATTTTCTTTCAGATTCTGTTAAGGTCTTGTCCTTCCAAAATTTGTCTACTTTCAGCTTGGTGGTTCTTTTCCATTGTTCTTTCTTTGGAACATTGCCTTGAAGTTGTGTAATGGTTGGAAGTTCATACAAATCTAATATATCCATAACTCTTGAAAAGAAGCTACTTTTGTTATCAAAATTTGTTGTTATTTGTCTTTCCATAAGCTGATGTATTTTTTCATTTTCGCATGTTAGTAGTGCAAGTAGGAGAGACAAAGCTCTTTTATGAATTTCTGCATCTATTAGTAGAGCTCCTAACAGTAGTAACACTGCCGAATTAGCGGTTCTTTCTGGAAGAGATTGTAACTGGCGAAGATTTTTTCTATGAAATTTTTCCCCAGTTACAATAGCTCACCATGATCAACTTACGTCTTCAGAATTTAAGCATACATTTTATCTTAACATCAAATCTTGGAATAGTTTAACACCAAGTTTAAATCTATGTATGCAGAAAATAAAAATTACATACTTAAATAAGTATACCAAACCAACCAAGTTATTCCTGCTACTTACGCTTATACTTGCAAATGACATACATGCTAATCCAGGTCCAATACGCAATCCATGTGGTATATGTAAAAAATATGTGGCCATAAACCATAGATCAATACAATGCGATGAATGCAACTTCTGGATACAAATTAAATGTTGAGGTATCACACCGAAAATGTATAACTCATTTATGAACAAAAAAGTTTTTTCATGGAAATGTCCATCGTGTTCCACAATAAACTTGTCAGATACATCAGTGCAAATAGAAGATGGTCTTGTCCAACAAAATTCTTTTAACGAATTGGAAAATATATCTGAATCTGAAATAACAAGTCAAATTGAAACATCACTTGAAACAGCTGATATAAATGACCCACCAACAAGGCAAAGAAATAACATCCGAATCATGACAGTCAACTGTAGAAGCTTGAGAAGTCAGCAAAATATAAAAACGAATTTACCACACTTATAGATACACACGAACCCCATATAATACATGCAACCGAAACACACCTAGATAAAACAATGTCAAATGCAGAACTCATTGATACAAATATGTATGAAGTATACAGAAAAGATCGTGTATTCGGAGTAGGACATGAAGGTGGAGGGGGTTTAAACTTGGTAAGAAAAGACCTGTTATCTACAGCTGAAATCACACTGGACACCGACTATGAAATATGCTGGAATAAGATTGAGATAAAAAGGCAGTAAACCACTTTATACAGGCTGCTATTACAGACCACCAGACAACAATATAGCATCCATTGAAAGCTTAAATACATCGCTAACCAGGCTAACACATTCAAATAATCTACCAAACCTAGTGCTCACTGGTGATTTCAACATGCCAGACATTATATGGGAAATAGATGAAGACAACAACTTCCAGTAAAAAATCAAACAACTATAGTATGGAAACCAATAACAAGTTCATAGAAGCACTTGAAGAAAACTGTCTAACACAAATAGTAAAAGAACCAACACGTCAAGATAACATATTAGACCTTGTACTACCAACAAATCCGTCAAGCATTGAAAACATATCAGTCCAAGATGGAATGAGTGACCATAGCATAGTCATCACTGACATAAATTTAAAAGCAAAAACCAAAAAACAAGTACCAAGGAAAGTATATATTTATAAAAAGGGCAACATGAACGGAATAAATGAACAACTAGATATAGAGGCTATAACATCAAATA